CCGAGGTGCGGAGGGGCGGGGGCTGCAGGGCTCACTGGGCTCCCACCCCGCGCTGCCCGCCCCTGGCCCTGGCCCTGGCCCAGCCGCAATGTCCCGGTGCTTCCCTGGCCTCGCACCCGAGGGGGCCCGGGTCGCTCCCAGGAGGTGGGGAGCCCTGGCTAGGGCACAGGCAGGGTTGGGGTGGACAGCTAGAGGAGACAAGGGCAGGCCTGGTGGGAGCTGGAGAGGACTCCGTGTCAGACATGGCCAGAGGGGAAACGACACACGGACTGGACCTGGCCGGGAGCGCCCAGTGCTCCCAGTGGGACGTTCAGTGGCCTAAAGGTTTCCCTAGGGGAAGGTGAGCGAGACAATCACCCAAACCAATGACCCGAGGCGAACCACCACCCAAGGTGTTTGTTTAGAAGGAGCCAAGCTGGTGTTTAGTATCGTGGTATACATAGGTGACAGATCCGTCATTTATTGGAAATGAAGCGGGTGTTTGATGGGGAGAAGGTACACTATTTACAGACGGGGAGGGCCCGGTTGCAGGCACCCTCCCGCTCCATCCTGTCCTGTCCGGTCTGAAGCATGGATTCTGGCGCCCAGGTCTTGCTTCTGGTTTTCCGACTTGTCCTACTTCTGGCTTAACCACTGTCCTGCCTCTTTCCCGACCACGTAAAAACAATGCTCAGCACAGCACACGGACAAAAATGGCGTCTCTACAGCAACCACACCAGGCCAACAGGCGGCCTTTTTACTACCCACCCAGGTCCTTCCACGCATGAGTTCTGTCCCTTCCACCGTGACCTGGCCCACGAACTGACCTGGCCCACGAACGAGGCTAGGATGAATGTCCTTGGCCCAGAGGAAGAGGCGGCCCTTCACAAAGAGCCCTGGCCCTTCACAAAGAGCCCTGGCAGGAGGACCTGAAGACCCTCCCACCATGACAAAAGCAGGAGGAGCATGGAGCAGAATGTTTATTACACCTCGTCCCCCACTGCGCAGGGGTTGAGGGCTGGGGCGTGCCCTAATGCTACTGCCCCAGCCCTTAAATACAGAGCACGGGAGAAAGAGACCCGCCCGAGATACAGCACCCACCTCGGCCGGCAAGGAGGCACGAGGACAGTGGGCCAGACCACTTCTCTGACGGGGAGGGCGGAGCCAGCATGGCGGCTGCAGCTCCCCTCCCTACCAGGGCTGGGTGCAGCCTCAGCCCCCGAGGGGCCGGAGCAGGAGCGATGACAGACTGCCAGCCGCTTCTCCCCGACCCCGGCCCCAGCACAGGCCTTCCTCTGCCCACCAGCCCAGGTCAGGGGTGTGGAAGAAACCCTGTTGGAATCTGAGGCCCTTATCTATTTCTTCTTCCGTTCTTGGGAGCAGCGTGGACAAAACCTGAACAGGAACAAGAGAAGGGGAAGGAGGGAGTGAGAGGGAGCATGGCCATCCCCACCCAGCTCGTACAGCCCAGCTCCTGCCACGCGCTTTACCATTTCCCGCGAGGCTTGGTTGTCAGCCCCACACAGGCGAAGTGAAACCACTCGATGGAGCACTGGAAAAGGAAGGTGGACGGAGCGCAAGTCAGGGGACCAGGAAGGAGAAGCGGCCCCGTACACACTCCTTAGAAAACTGACCCCTTCCTCCTCCTCTCGGGAAGCTCTTGCCTACGGCCAACCAGCTCCGCCCAGCTTCCTTCTCTCTGAAGTCCCGCAGTTCAGCCCGGTCCCCCCTCGACCCTTGTACCCACTCCTCGTGCCCCTCAGAACCTCCCATCCTGAGGCAAACATGGGTCTCACATCAGGGTTGTCACAGCCAATCATCTCTCCATAGGACACCTGGTGACAAAGGCAATAGGTGGGTTCGTTGGGATCCACAGGCATATCCAACACATCAGAGGGGTGGACACTGCCAAAGGTCACTGAGGGCATCCCATACTCAGGACTTCTGCATGCCAAGAGGAAGAGAAAGTGTCATGTGCAGGAAGGGAGGCGGGGCTGGGCTCTCGGAGGTGGGAGGAGTCCTGGTGGGACCAGGACTTGGGGCTGCTCCTCTCCATCCAGCAGCTACCACATGATCAGGGGTCGCTAGCACAGAAGACAGAGAAGGCGGCGGGGGAGAAGAGCCTGTCGACAGTGGAGGGCGCCCTGACACACTCACGTGCGCACAAGCTTTAGCTTCTTCTGGGCAGCCTTGGGGGCTTCTTCGTCCGAGTTTTTCCCTTTGGACCGAGCACGGGCAGCTTTCTTCTCCTTTTGAGTCCGGCCTTCTAGGGAAGAGGGGGACAGCCAAAAGGCAGAGAGACAGAAGGAAGGGTCAAGTCCTCTTTCTCCCTCTTTCCAACCTGCTGCCCTTCCCTCAGGTGACAGCTGGTGGCTTCTCCCTCGAGTCCGCCGCTGCCTCAAACAGCCCCGCCCCCCTCCTCACTCTTTTTGCCTTTGCTGGAAGAGCTGTCATAGTCGCTTGACTCGATCTGTTTCTCCTTCAGATCAGCCTCAAAACGGGCCAGGTCTGTGTCCAGTCGCCGAATGTGTTTGTCCACCTGGTGGGGAGGAAGAAGGGAGATGTGTGAGGCTGGTTCTGGGAAAACAAAATAGGTTAAGGCACATTCTGTGGATCCCCCGGGTCCAAAACAAATCCCCAGAGAGCTGAAGGAGGGGTCTAAGACCCCGAGGACTGGACGGGAGGTAGGCGGGGAGCCACGGACAGGGCCATACCATCTCATAGGTCTGCATGGCAAGCTGCACCTTGTCGTCACCAAATTCCTTGCATTTGCCATAGGCTTCCTGGATCTGTTTGAGAAGGGCCAGTTTTTCCTCGGAGCTCAGGCTGCGGGCGCTACTCATATACTCAGTGGCCAACTTGTCAATTTCAGCCTTCAGGTCTACAACAGAGACAGAGGCCTGGTCACAATGGCCCCTGAGTGACTAGGTGAGACACATTTCTTCTTCTTGTTCCTTGGACTTTTCCCATGGACTAGTGTAACCTTCGAACTAAAACGTACTGAACGTTCACAGGTGTTGTACCACGGTACTCAGGCAGCGCAACATACTGACAGCGCGTGTGTTAAAGGTGCCTTCGAGGTGCTGAACACATCGCTACCGTGGCTGGGGCTGAAACTACGGACACACACGAGAATCCTTTGCATACCACATTAATATGAAATGTGTTTCTGTTGATGCTTGAAGATGCTTCTTTGTAAATTAAAAAAAAAAAAAAAAGTTTCTTTGTAAAGCTTGCTCTTTCTTGACTCATGAATTTTGTCTCAAAATCTGCCTTGTTTCTGAACTCAAAAACACCCCTGATTGCGGCAAACCATGCTGGGCCATCTGCTGCTGCTGGTGTGCTGGTCTGTGCAGCCACAGCTCACGGCGTCAAAGCTGGCCCTCCTTTATCCACGGAAGGGTTCTTCTGCTCACCCTACTGCTCACCCTGTTTTGCTGATCATTTGCAACTTGCTTCTGTGTCCTATTGCTGTTTTTCTGTTCGTTCCTCTTATATGCTTTTTTTCCTCCAGACATTTTACCACTGGGAGGCTGGTGGTGCCCGAAGGCACTGAGGCTGCAGAAGTCTACTGCCTGGTCTCTGGTAAAGTTCATAGAAACATCGACGGAAAGAGACGAAAGTCTGGCTCTGACGTAGTATGGCGACAGACAACAGGGAGCATCTGCGGATACTCTACGTTCATGCTCCACTTCCTTCCAGGTCCTCGGAGAGGCTGAGAACGCACATGGACCGGAATCTCCAGCTGGTGTTTCGGGGCCTGGCCTCAAGAGTCAGAATTGTACAACGGAGAGAACGAGCTGATTCTTGCCATCCAACAGGCAGTTCTCAGCAAACCACACCCAGGGTTTTACATGATGTTCTCCTCTTCAGAAGTAAACGTGCCCAGAGAAACTTAAGATATAGCTTCGTGTACTCCGAGTACCCTAACACCAGCTGACTACAGCCGTATGGCCGCACAGGATGGATGATAAGGCCTACATATCCCTCAGCGGGTATGAGGACCATTCTGAAAGGCTTTTTTTTTTTTTTTTTTTTTTTAAAGATAGTTTTGCTATAGGGTGCATGCACTCACCAGAGAGACATAGACAGACAGAAAGAGAGAAATCCTCCAAGAGGAATGGCCACCATGTTGCAATCCTTTTTCCTCCATTCTCCACTTAGGGGTTTGGGCATACAAGCGCACATACCCAGCATCAGTCTTAAGTCGCCAGGTCCAGGACTCGAACCATGGTCGACTATGTGGGAGTCTAACAATGTAACCACTACATCATCTGCTGGCCCCTCATAAGACATTTAGATCTTGAAGAGACCACCCTGACCACCGTGCTATAGCCTCCCTCAGGCTCCACATGAATGCCTCAGTGTAGCCACATTCGGTCCGTGTCTAAGGCTGAAGATGGTATCCAATACTTCCGTACGGTTAGAGAACGCAGCGTGGGAATCCTCATGTTAACTGCGTTTTTCCTTTCTCCTCTTCATTCTTCCTTTTTAAGAACTTCTCATAGCACAAAGTCCTGCCCACCAATACGAGATGCCATCTAAGGCCACACTCTGACAGCCACACTAACTGCAGCGAAGCAGAGACGTGTAGTCATCCTAGCAACACGGACCGTGAAGAGGAGAAGCGACTCTAGAATCAGCTTTGGCTTCCTGAATTCTTGAGGAGATACAAAAAATACATATTCTCTGAGTTCTTGAGGCAGTGCCTGAATACTTCATTTGCGGTGAAGAAGCTGATACGGAAATGAGGATCATCATGACTCTCTCTTAAGAAATACAAGAGACGGGACCAGCGGGTAGTGTGGTGGTTAAGGCGCTGGATGCTCCCACGTGGCTGACCATGGTTCAAATCCTGGACCTGGTGGCTTGCTTTCTCACCTTCCCTCTCTCTCTGTCTGTGTGCGACTCTCTGGACAAATTACAAATGAATGAATGAATAAATAAAGTTAAATAAATAATTTTTTTAAAAAAAGGAAATACAAGAGAGTCAATGAGAGAGCACAGTTCTCCAGGTCATAACAGAGGACAGGGCAGCACCGAGTGGAAAGGACTGGACGCACCGTACACACGCGGCTTACTCTGTACGCACCCTCTGTTCTCTGGTCTAGGTCCCTCATGAGCTGAAAGTTCCTCTGTAATTCAAAGGGGAGGTTTTCAATACCTAGGGAAGCAAGAGAGACTGAATCACTGCTCTATCCATAGGCCTTGTAGCCCCCTACTCCCCTTTCTTTTTTAAATTTGTTATAAGGTATGTTCGCTTGCTGGAGAGAAACAGAGAAAGTGAGATATCGGCCCCCACCCCAGGAGGGAAAGTGAGAATCACCCTCTAGAAGATGGCTACCCTGCAGTCCCTTCTTCATTCTCCTCTCAGGGTTTTGGGCACACATGCACACGTATCCAGTATGATTTTCAAGCCACTGGGTCTGGGACTCGAACAGCACATTCAGCCATGTGGGATCCAGCTGCCCTAACCACCATTCCTGGCTGGCCTATTATAGCTCCTTTTAAACTGTAGTTGTTTTTCCTCTCTCTTTTTTATTTTCTTTTGAGAGAAATTTTTGCTCCAAGGCATGTGCACTCTCCAGAGAGACAGATGGAAAGGGAGAAATCACTTCAGGGGGGGATGGCACACCAAAATCCCTTCTCCTCCATTCTCTTCTCAGTATATTGGGCATGCATGCATGCACACATGCCCAGCTTGGGTTTTAAGCCCAGCCTGTGTTTTAAGCACCGGGTCCAAGACTCAAACCGTAGTCAACTACATGGAGTCCAGCAACATAACTGTTATGCCATCTGCTGATTCTATTTTTCCTTTTTTTTTTTTTTTTAAGAATTATTTTGGGGGACCAGCAGATGGTATAATGGCTACATTGCTGGACACCCATGTAGTTGACCATGGTTCAAGTCCTGGACCTGGTGACTTAAACTCATGCCGGGCACGTATAAGTGCGTGCCCAAGATCCTGATAGGAGAATGGAAGAGAAGGAATTATGGTGTGACCATCCCCCACGGGGGGTGATTTCTCGTTTTTTGTCTCTTTTTTTTTGGAGAGATTTTTACTAAAGGGCACGTGCATTCACCAGAAAGACAGAGACAGAGAGACAGAAAGTGGCCATCCCCCCTTCTCCTCCATTCTCCTCTTGGGATCTTGGGTACATATGCACATGCACCCAGTGTAAGTTTAAGCCGCTAGGTACAGGACTCGAACCACGGTCGACTACATGGAAGCCCAGTGACATAGCCATTACACCAACTGCTGGTCCACTGTCTCTCTGTTTTTCTAGTGAGCACACACGCCCTTATAGCAAAAAAAACTCTAAAAACACCCACATTATTTTGGGGCCAGCAGGTGGCTTAGTGATTAAGGTGCTGGACTCCCACATGGCCAACTGCAGTTCGAGTATTGGACCTGGTGGCTTGAAATTCATGCCAGGCATGCGTGCATGCACGCCCAAAGTCCTGAGAGGAAAATGGATGAGAAGGGGTGGCAGTATGGCCGTTCACCCAGGAGGTGATTTTTCACTTTCTATCTCTGTCCCTCCGGGGGGCACACATGCCCTATAGTAAAAAATCCCTCAACAACAACAAAAGAATTACTTAATTTTATTTATTATTATTTTTGAGAGTTTAAAAAATATTACATTACTATTATTTTTTAATTTGCTATAGGGTACATGCACTCATTAGAGAGATGGAGAGAAAGAGAGAAAGTGAGAAAGCAAGTTGCCAGGTCCATGACTTGACCCATGTTTGGCCATGTGGGAGTCCAGAACTTTAACCACCATGTTACTTGCTGGTCCCCGGTTTATGTATGTATGTATTTACTACCTATCTATCTATCTATTTATTTATTGAAATTTGACCAGAGAGGGTCAGAGAGAAAGTGAGAAAGCAAGCTCCCAGGTCTGGGACTCAAACCACAGTCAGCCATGTGGGGGTCCATTGCTCTTAACCACCATGCCACCTGCTGGTCCTCTCATTATTCTAAATTTGCTACTGGGCACATGTGATCACGAGAGAGAGAGAGAGAGAGCGAGCGAGCAAGCTGCCTGGTCAGGGACCTGAACTGCAGTTGTCCACGTGGGAGTCCAGTGCCTCAACCACCACGCCACTTGCTGGCCCCAAGAAAGAGATTTTTGCTAGAGGGTGCGTGTGCTCACCAGAGACACAGGGAGAATGAGAAGGGGTGGCAGTGTGGCCATTCACCCCCTGGGTGAATGGCCTTTCCCTCTATTCTCTCAGGATTTGGGGCACACATGCACAACCCCCCAGTGTGAGTTTCAAGCCACTGGGTCTGGGACTTGAACCATGGTTAGCCATGTGGGGGAGTCCAGCACCTTGACCACTACATCACCTGCTGGCCCCTTATTTTTTAATGTGACCAGAGAAAGGCAGAGAGAGGGAAAGTAAGAAAGCAAGCCACCAGGTTTGAGACTCAAACCACGGCCAGTCATGTGGGAGTCCAGCACCCCAACTATCACACCACCTGCTGGTCCCAGTTTTCCCTCTTTCGAACCTCTGGCTCTGTCACAGGATTCCTTGTTCCTCTTCACAAGAGGCCATGGTCACCTCTCTCTACACAAACACCTCTCCATCTCTGCACCGCAACCCCTCCTTTTCCCCTCGGGAATTCAGACCTTCATTTTCCATCTCTGCCTCTGAGCTCTTCAGCCTCAACTTACACAGCACCCCTGGTGTCCTGTATACACATCACCAGAACACCTCCAACCTGTCCTGTATGTAGCTAGAATGTCTACCAGGGCCAGCAGGTGGCATGGTAGTGAAGGTGCTGGACTCCCAAATGGCCAACTGTGGTTCAAGTCCTGGATCTGGTGGCTTGCTTTCTCTCTTTCTCTCTCCCTATCTCTCTTCAGTGAGTGTATGTGCCCTATACAAAATGTAAAATAATAATAAAATTTTAAAAATAATTATTAAAAATTAAAAAATGTGAGGACCAGCAGGTGGTGTGGTTGGTTAAGGCGTTGGACAGACACTCCCACATGGCTGACCGGGGTTCGAGTCCTGAATCTGGTGGTTTGCTTTCTCATTTCCTCTCTCTCTCACTCTCAACCTCTGTTTCTTTCTGGCTATATTTAAAAATAAGTGAATGAATAAATGAAATGAAATAATTATTTTTTAAAATGTCAACCGGGGCTAACAGGCAGTGTGGAGGCAGCTGGATCGCATATGGCCAACTCCATGGTTTGAGTCTCAGACCCTGAGTCTTGAAAAGGTGGGGACCAGCAGTTGGTGTAATGGTTATGTCATTGGACTCCCATGTAGTCAACAACGGTTCGAGTCCCAGGCCTGGTGGCTTAAATTCACACCAGGTGAGTGTGCATGTGTGCCCAAGATGCCGAGAGGAGAATGGAGGAGAAGAGATTGTGGCATGGTCATTCCCCCTGGGGGGTGATTTCTCGCTTTCCGTCTCTATGTCTCTGTTTGTCTGGCGAGCGTATGTGCCCTGTAGCAAAAGTCTCTCAAAAAAGAAAAAGAAAAAGAAAATCATGCTGGGAGCATGTGCACGCATGCCTGAAATCCCAAGAGGAGGTTGGAGAAAGGATTGTGATGTGGCCATCCCCGCTGGAGGTGATTTCTTACTTAACTTGTTTTTCTCCAGCGTGCACACATACCCTATAGCAACAACAAAAAGCAAACCCGATCATATCGCTACTGCTGATAACCCTCCAGTAACTTCCTATTGCTCGTGGGGTGTTCTGCACTTTTGGCCCTGCTTCCCTCCCTCCAGCCTCTCCTCAGGTCAGCAGTCCCCTCTGTGCTCTCTGCTCAACCCTAAAGGGCCTTCCCTGAGAGCCTCACAGTAGCCAGAGCTCTTCTTGCCATCTGGCTTTCTGGATGCCGTTCTCTTGGCCTGGGATGCCCTGTTCTTCTTCCTCGTCCACCCCCCATACCACTTGGCCACTAAATTCCTATTCATCCTTTAAACTTCAGCTTAAGCTTCACTCCAAAAAGTGCCTTGAGATAGATGTTGAGGGCCAGCAGGTAGCATGGTGGTTAAGGGTGCTGGACTCCCACATGACCGACTATGGTTTGAGTCCCAGACCTGGTGGCTAGCTTTCTCACTCCCCCCCACCCCTCACCCCCCGCCACTTGCTCTCACTCTGGTCACATTAAAATAAAGAAAGAGAAAGTTGGACCCTAGCAGGTGGCATGGGGGGTAAAGGGCCCGTACTCCCACGTGACAGTTCGAGTCCTGAATCTGGTGGCTTACTTTCTCACTTTCTAACTCACTCACTCTGTCCCTCTCTGATCAAATTAAAATAAGTAAATAAAGTTAAATAAAATAATTGAAATAAAAAAGAAAGTTAAATAATTATTTTTAAAGAGAATTACTTAATTTTATTTATTCATTCACTTATTTTTTAAAAGAATCATTTAATTTTATTTATTCATTCATTTATTTTAATTTGGCCAGAGAGAGACACAGAGAGTGAGAGAGAAGGAAAGTGAGAAAGCAAGCCACCAGATCCAGGACTCAAACTATGGTTGGCCATGTAGGAGCGTCCAGCACCTTAACCACCACGCCACCTGCTGGTCCCCTCATTCACTTATTTTTAAATTTGACCAGAGAGAGAGAGAGAGAGAAAGTGAAAAAGCAAGTCGCTAGGTCTGGGACTCGAACTGTGGTTGGCCATGCAGGAGTGTCCAGTACCTTAACCATCATGCCACGTGCTGGCCCTCATAATAATTCTTTAAAAGAAAGAAAGAAACAAAAAAAAGATAGATGCTGTCAAGGTACTTTGTCTCTACTTTTTTCCCTGGTACTTATCCGATGGTAATTAAATAACTGCATAATTAGTTATTTGGTATCCGTCTCTGCAGTCCTCCAAGGGGACTCAAACATGTCTCTCTTGTCCGCTGTTTTCCTGGTATTTAGAACTATGACTTGCACACAGAAGGTACTCAATAAATACTTGAATAAATACAAGAATATTTAAGTCTCCCTCATACAAGAAATATCTTTTTAAAAAATATTTAATTTTATTTATTCATTCATTTATTTTAATTTGACCAGAGAAAGACAGAGAGAGAGGGAGAGAAAGTGGGAAAGTGAGAAAGCAAGCCACCAGGTCCAGGACTTGAACTGTGGTTGGCCATGTGGGAGTGTCCAGCACCTTAACCACCACACCACCTGCTGGTCCCAAGAAATATCTTTTTTTAAAAGAATTATTTTATTGAACTTTATTTATTCATCCATTTATTTTAATTTGATCAGAGAGGGACAGAATGAGAGAGAAAGAGAAGGAAAATGAGAAAGTAAGCCATCAGGTCCGCGACTTGAACTGTGGTTGGCCATGTGGGAGTCCTGTGCCCTTAACCACCACACTACCTACTGGCTCCATATAAGAAATATCTTGGGACAAGCAGATAGTGTAAAGGCTCTGTTGCTGGACTCCCACATGGCCGATCCTGGTTCTAGTCTCAGACTCAGTAACTCTGACCTGGACTGCTGCTGTCTGCCCTCGCTACTACTAATGCTGCCATGCTCCCGTACATCAGTTATTGCCTTTGAAAAGTCGCACTTGCGGGGGCCGACAGATGATGTGCTTGTTGAGGTGCTGGACTGGGGGTGGTCGACCATAATTCAAGTCCCTGACCCAGCAGCTTAAAACTCACATTGGGGGACCAGCAGTTGGCATAATGGCTATGTGGCTGGAATCTCATATAGTCGACCATGGTTTGAGTCCCGGACCCGGTGGCTTAAACTCTCACCAGGCACGTGTGCGTGCGTGCCCAGGATCTTGAGGGAATGAAGGAGAAGGGATTGTGGCGTGGCCATCCCCCCTGGGAGGTGATTTCTTGCTTTCTATCTCTGTCTCTGTATTTCTGGCGAGCGCACGCATCCTATAGCAAAAACATCTCCGAAGAAAAAAGAAAAAGAAAAAAAAAAACTCACATTGGGCATGTGTGTATGTGTGCGTGCCCAAAATCTTGAGAAGAAAATGGAGGAGAAGGGATTTCAGCAAGGCCATCCCCCTGGGGGGTGATTACTCACTTCCCCTTTTACAATCTCTGTCTCTTTCTCTGGTGAGCACACATGCCCCACAGCAAAAATTTCTAAAAAAAAAATCACTTGGGTAGCTTCCTAAGGAGGCTGGATCCCACATAGCTGCCTGGTTTGAGTCTTGGACCTAGCAACTTGGGAAGCATGCCAGATGTGTATGTGTGTGTGCCCAGGATCCAAACAGAATGGGAAAGAGATTGCAGCATGGCCATCCCCCTGGGGAGTCATTTCTCACTTTCTTGCTCTCTGTCTCTGTCTAGCAAACAAGTATGGTCTATATCAAACTTAAAAAAACCAAAAACTCCATAAACTAAAACTTAACCGTTGGCTCAGCTCAGCTCCATGGCCTGGTAATTAAGGTGGCTGATACCACATGGCCAACTGCACAGCTGGCCGTCCTGGACCCAGCGGCTTGAAAACACGCTGGTGTGTGGGTGTGTGTGCTCAAAGTCCCGAGAGGAGGGACAGATGGAGGAGAAGGGACTGTGACCATCCACTATGGAAGTTGCTTTCTCCTGTCTCTCTGCAGCAAGCACATGTACCTTCTAGTGCACCGCATGCACACATACGCACAAGACACACTTTTTTTTTTTTTTGGTGGAGACTTTTTTTTGCTATAGGGCGTGTGCGCTCACCAGAAAGACAGAGAGAGACAGAGAGACAGAAAGCGAGAAATCCCCCCCCCCAGGGGGGATGGCCATGCCGCAATCTCTTCTCCTCCATTCTCTTCTCAGGATCTTGGGCATGCACACACACGCACCCGGCATGAGTTTAAGCCCCCAGGTCCGGGACTTGAACCGCAGTCGACTACATGGGAGTCCAGTGGCATAGCCATTACGCCAACTGCTGGTCCCAAGACGCACTTTTTTTTTTTTTTGAGTATCAGTTTTTGTTTTTGTTTTTTAAGTCTTTTCAGGTCAGCAGATGGCGTAGTAACTACATTGCTAGACTCTCACATGGCTGACCTCAGTCTGAGTAATAGACCCAGTGGCTTGAAAATCATGGAGGAAATAAGCGGATGAACTTTAAAGTAAAATAAAATAACCTTGCTTGGTCTAGTCCCAGTTGTCTCCTTCTCCAGTCTCAGTTCCAGTCTCTCACCTTAAGTCATATACCCCAAACACTCTGACTTGAGGTTTCCTTGACCTTGCCAGAAGCCCATTGGGCTCTCTCCCCACAATGACAAAAACCTGTCAAGCCCCTACGCAAACATTACTGTAAAGCTTCACGCACGTACCAGGTAATTACCCCTTCCCAGTGTGACTGACCGTTTAATGTACTTCTAGTACCTTCTGCACCGCTTTATAATTATCTTCAGAACCTGTTTCCTTCTAGACCATGAGCTCACTTTTTCTCAGAGCCTGCTAGCAGGTCTCACCCCGAGCAGGACGTTAGTACCTTTTTTTTGCCTCCCCACACCGAGCAAACATGACTGCACGGGCTGGCAGGCTTTGTTTCCACCGAATGGGAAGTGGATCTTTACTCCACGAACGGAAGCATTCCGGGCCATCATCTGACAGCTGTCACCCACCAGCACCCCAACCCCATGAGAAGCCATGTCTAAGAAAGGACCGGAGGCAACTCGAGGGTTTTGTCGCTACTCCACATAGCAGTGGGTGACACCATTTCTGAACGACTTGCGGAAAACATCTACCTGAGCCCAGAGACTGACTAATGGGGCCAGCAAGTATCTTCTCGGCTACGCCCTCTAGCCCTTCAAGACAGCCCTGGATCCCGCCGCGCAGCGGTCCCCACCTACACCGGCCGCGGGGCCCCGCTCCTGCTGCCCCGCCCCCTCTTCCCGTACACCCTCCAGGATTTCCTCCCGCGGAGCCCCTTCACGGCTGTGACCTCCTCGTCCTCAGGACTTCGGAGCCACAGATTCTCTCCGCCTCGATCCCCCCAGCACTCTGTGACCCCTGACCCCCTCCTCCAGCCTGCTCTTACTGTCCAGATAATGTTCCAAATACATCCCCGCAGCCATCTTGAAGCAAAACAAAGCAACTTCCGACTCGCCCCGGAAGTACTGGAACGCGACCCGGGCTGAAGCCGTTCTTGAGTGGGAGCCTTCCGCCCTTAAAAGGAGAACTTCCGGCCTCAGGAGCGTACTCGTCGGGACTCGTCCGCCCGACGTTCAAACTTTTCCTTGTGCGTGTGTAGCCACGACCGCCGGTAGCGAGGAGACTCAAGTCCGCTTCCGCCCTTCCTGAGACCCAGGACGCGACCGAGGCGGGTATGACGTCACCGGGATCGCCATTTTGCATTCCCTAGCAAACTTTATTCCCTCCAAAACCGAGTGTGGCTCATGGGGTGAAGGAACCGTTCTGTTCACGACTGCATTCTGTGGGTGTCCCTTCACCAACTGGAGAGGCCAGCTTTTTCTTTTGCGGAGTATGGCTCTGGTGACCATTGCAGCTAGTTTCTGAGGACCTTGGGAAGGAGTATCCGGCCCTGGAGGACAAACCCTTCGCGTGTCCGTCCACTCTCAGGGGCACCACCCATCTCCCCAGCATTACTTCTTTAACTTGAGAAAGTTAAAAGTTTATAGTTTGTAAACTTCCTATTACCTATAAATACAAGTAATTATAAAGTCGTAATTCTGTACACATTGCGTGAGTGGTCCAGTCCTTTGCCCTGCAACACACTGGCATGAAGTAGTGCTTCCACTCGTGCTCTCTTGCCACTCCTTGGGGGTGATCCCATGTTTGTCTTACTATATGCGCCGTTAACATCAAGATCCCTGCCTCTGTCACCCTAGGGATGCCTGCCAGTCACACTAAGGAAACTACTCAATACCCATAACCTGAGAGAGGTGTTAGGAAGAAAGGATGCTGGTCATCACTCCCAATTCACACATCCTTCATTAATTACGTCACATGGAAGAGTCTTCATATAATATTTTCAGCAACGTATCTTAGACCACATCTATGAAGAGCAAGATGGACCCACAAGCCTACTAGTGAGCAGGTGGTAAGGTACAGCCCTAGACTGTAGGAAACTTCACTCTAATTACAAGTGCCTTGCCTTTGGGTAATTTGTGTGCAGTTCCACACATGCTCTACTTCACAGGGTCGTTGCGATGTGGAAACGTATCCTTAAAAAGAGGAGATTCTGGTTGTCAGAACGTTTTCAGTAGTTGGTGAGAGCAGGAAAAAAGTAGGCAACATTGTGTGTTTGGTCATGTGTAATGTATCTGTTAGACCACATACTGAGACGTTCTTAGTCGGAAGTCTGCTCAAGATACCCAGCCTTAAATTAGGTGGGCATCCCTTTGCTAGTCACACCCCACTAGTCTCAGAGAACTACCCGTTGTCTGATGTGGGAACTCGGTCCTAACTTTGTGCTTGAGGTCATCAGTTCTCAAAAAGGAACCTTGGAGGTTACTCTTGTCCAGCCCCTTCCCAGCTGAAGCACTGTGGCCAACACTGGCCAACCACAGAGCCAGGGCCGAAGTCTGGGTTTCTTGATTGGCTTCTACTCAGTTCCACAACTACTCTGTTCTAGGACTCAACTCTACCCATTCGTTTCCACCACTGGAAACCTCTGCTGTGAGGTGCCCAGGATGATGAGGGTATGTATGGACACACTGTCAGCTGGAATCGCCTGGGCTGTTCCACTGAAGCTCAAGCAGCACAGGTCCTTTCAAGAGACTGTGCTTCGGGGCCGGCAGTTGGCATGGTGATGAAGGTGCTGGACTCCCATATGGCCGAGTGTGGTTCAAGTCCCAAACCTGGTGGCTGGCTTTCTCACTTTCTCTCCAGTCAAAACTGAAAAATGATAATAAATAAAATTAATTTTTTTTTTTTT